TTTGGTTTTTGGTTTTTCTCCGGTACCGGGAACCGAACTCACGACCTTGCGCTTGCCAGGCAGGCGCTTTTGCCGCTGAGCTAAATCCCCAGCCCCCTGAATTCTTTTTCATCCATTTCCTCTCCCCTCCCTCCACACTCCCTCCTTCTCTTGGCTTCCTTCCCACTTGCAAAAGATCTCTCTCCCTATTTCCTATTATCTTTTACTTTGCTCTTTTTTATTTTGGCTTTCTCATATGTGAGGAACACTGTAATATTTTAACTTGCATATCGGATGTATTTCACTTAATATTGTAGTCTTAGAGTGTATGCATTTTCTTACAAATGACTCAAGTCCATACTTACTTATGGCAGAGTAGTGCTCCATTTTGTACCAGTGCCACATTTTCTTTACCCATTTGTTGATGGACATATAGGCTACTTCTAAGATTTAGCTGTTATGGCCCAGGGATGTAGCACAGCGGCACAGCACCTGCCTGGCAAGCGCCAAGAGTTCAATTCCCAGTACCACACACACACAAAAAAAGATTTAGCTATTATGAATTGTGATGTTATAAATATGGGTATACAAGCCAGGCATGGTGGTGCATGCTTGTAATCCCAGCACTCGGCAGGCTGAGGCAGAAGGATTGCTCTGAGTTCAAGGCCAACCTGGGCTACATAGTGAGTTCAAAGCTAATCTGAACTACATAGCAGGACCCTGTCTCAAAATGAAATGAAATGAAATATGGGTATGCATGTACTACTCTAAGATGCTGTCTTAAGTTTTTTGGTGTAGAATGTGTTCTAGATACCTAGAAGGGGAATAACTGGGTCAAATGAAATTTATATTTTTAGTTTTTGAGGAGTATCCATATTGATTTCTAAAATGGTTGTACAGTTTTGTTCACCAACAGTGCAGAGCCTCCAGGCACAACCTTGCAGTGTTTGTTATTGTCTGATTTCTTGATGACAGCCATTCTCTCTGGTGTAAGATGGAATCTCATTGTTGTTTTAATTTGCATTTCTTTAATGGCCAGAGATCTTGACATTTTCTTATGTATTTATTGGCTATTTGCCCTTCTTCTGAGAAACATCTATCCATTGTACTTACCCATGTTTAGACTGGGTCTTATTCTGGGGAGTCTATTTTTTTTTTAAAGTTCTTTATATGTTCTAGATATTAACCCTTTAGGAATAGCTGGCAAATTTTCTTTTCCCATTTTGTAGGTTGTCTCTTTGCTCTGTTAATTGTTTCCTTTCCTTTAATTTGGTATGACTCCATTTATTGATTCTTGGTGCAATTTCTTATGCCACTGGGGTTCTGTACAGAAAGCCCTTGCCTGTGCCTCTGTCTTCAAGGGTTGTACCTATTTCATCTTCCAGCATAGTGTTTTCTTCTTAACACGTACGTCCTTGATCCATTTCAGTTTTAGTTTAGTACACGATGATAAAGTATGTCTTTTTATTTCTATTTTAATTATGCCATTTGTGTGTATTTATAGGACTAAAATGGAAAGATTGAACATCTTTTTTTTTTTTTTTTGGTCTTTTTGAGGCAGGGTCTCGCTATGTAGTTCAGGCTGGTCTTGAGCTCACTTTGTAGCCCAGGCTGGTCTCAAACTTGCAATGATCCTCCTGCCTCAGCCTCCCGAGTGCTAGGATTACAGTAGTGCTCCACCATGCCCGGCTTGTTTTTTTTTTGTTTTTTTTTTTGATATGGGATATTGCTATACTGTCCAGATGAATCTCAAATTCTTACAGTGTGTGCATACAGTACTCCTGCCTCAGCCTCCCTACTAGCTGGGATTGCAGGCATGCACCACATATCTAGCTTTATTAACACTTTTACTGCTGCATGGCTTTCCCAAAATATTGTTCCAATGAACTCCAGTTTCTGTTAGCATGGTGTCACAGTATGTACCCTACAGAAACATTGCTAACGTTGGGTCTTCTTATTTTGAAAATACTTTCTACTTTGGTGACTAAAAATCAGAATCTAAATTGTTTGCATATTTTGACATTTTTAAAAGGTTGGACATCTTTTCAAAAATTTATTAGTCATCTACATTTTCTGTTTTGTGAAACATTATGGTTTTGCTTATCCTTGAGGTCTTACATTGTTTTATGAGGTTTTTGTTGTTTTACTACTTTGAGTTAGGGTCTCACTATGTAGCCCAGGTTCGCCTTGAATTCCCTGTGTAGCTCAGACCGGGCCTCTGACTTTTAACTGATCCTCCTGCCTCAGTCTCCCGGTGGATTATAGGTGTGCATCACCATGCCCAACTCTGTTGAATTTTTAATATATTTGAAGATATTTATCCTTTTTATGTGTGTTGAAAATATTTTTGTTTAGCAGGCAGGATAAAATCAAACTACAGACTTAGACAAGCTTTTATCTGAATTCTGAGATAATTCTTATCTAATTGTGTGATCCTGGGCAAATTACATAAAAAGGGGGGTTAAAAATACATAGGTAAGCTGGACATGATGGCACACACCTGTAATTCTAGCACTTAGGAGACTGAGGCAGGAGGATCTCCATGAGTTCAAGGCCTGCCTGCATTACATAGTGAGACCCTGTCTCAAAAAAAAAAAAGTAGGTAAAAAATGTAGGAGACTAAATAGCACCAATAGTTTCAGTGTGCTTATTGATTCATTATTCTTCAGTTGTTTGAACCCAAGAACTCTGGACACTTTGCACTGCTATAAATAGCAAGGAGCCATTGAGTTAGAGATTTATACTCTCAGTTTACTGTGTTCTCTCAAGCAAGTGGTAGCTAAGTTCTGTCAAGCTTCAGTTTCTTTGTAGACTAGACTCAGTGGGCTCTTAGGAAAACTAAATCACTTACATCAAATACTTAATAAGCATCAGTCTATATATATAATATATATATATATATATATATTTTTTTTTTCTTCCTTTGAGACAAAGTCTTACCATGAACTCATTAAGTAGCCCAGGCTGTCCTCAAACTACCAGCAATCCTCCTGCCTCAGCCTGCTGAGTGGTTGAATTATAGGCATGTGCCACCACTCCTGGCCAATGACATTATAGTAAATGTGTCCCCGTCCATTTTCCTTCCTAGTAAACAAATCGGAAAAGCTT